GATAAGAAGGAAATCAAGGATATCCAAATAGGAAAAGAGGAAGTCAAGTTATCCCTATTTGCTGATGATATGATCCTATACCTTGAAAATCCAAGAGAATCTGTCAAAAACCTGCTTGTATTGATTAAGGACTTTGGCAAAGTCTCAGGGTACAAAATGAATGTGCAAAAGACAGTTTCATTCCTATACACCAACAACAAGCAGGCAGAGACCCAAATAAAAAGCACAACCCCATTCACAATAGCCACCCAAAAATGAAATACCTTGGCATCTTCCTAACCAGAGAAGTGAAAAACCTTTACAATGAGAACGACAAAACACTGCTCAAAGAAATCCAAGAAGACACAAACAAACGGAAAAACATTCCATGCTCATGGATAGGAAGAATCAACATTGTTAAGATGTCCATCCTACCCAAGGGAGTCTACAGATTCAACACAATACCCATTAAATTACCAACATCTCTTCTCTGACCTGGAAATGACAATACAGAAATTCATATTGAAACATAAATGACCATGAATAGTCAAAACAATCCTTGGCAAAAGAAATAAAGTGGGAGGTATCACACTTCCAGACTTCAAACTTTACTATAAGGCTACAGTAATCAAAATAGCCTGATATTGGTACAAGAATAGGCATATAGACCAATGGAACAGGATAGAGATTCCAGAAGCAAAACCTCAATTTCTCAGCCAACTCATCTTTGACAAAACCTCCAGGAACCACCACTGGTGAGAGGAGAACCTATTCAGTAAATGGTGCTGGAAAAACTGGATGACCACATGCAGAAGATTGAAACAGGACCCCTACCTATCCCCATATACAAAAATTAACTCTAAATGGATCAAAGACCTAAATGTAAAACCTCAAACTATAAGAATCTTAGAAAATGCAGGAGACACCCTTATAGAAATTGAAACTGGCAACCAATTCCTATTCAGAACACGAAAGGCCAATACCTTAAGAAATAAGATAGACAAGTGGGACTTCACCAAACTAATGAGCTTCTGTAAAGTAAAAGAAACCATCAAGAGAGCAGGGAGACAGTCCACAGAATGGGAAAAAATATTTGCCAACTGTATATCTGACAAAGGCCTAACATCTAGGATCTACAAGGAACTCAAACGCGCTTAAAGGAAAAAAAACAGAGTCCCTTTAAGTAGTGGGCAAAAGACATGAATCACACTGCTCAGAAGAAAATATACAGGCAGCCAACAGACACATGAAAAAGTGCTCAGCCTCACTCATCATCAGAGAAATGCAAATCAAAGCCACATTGAGATACCACCTAACCCCAGTAAGAATGGCCATCATTAATAAAACAAACAATAACAGATGCTGGCAAGGATGAAGAGAAAAAGGAACACTTCTACACTGCTGGTGGGAATACAAACTAGTGCAACCTCTTTGGAAGACTGTGTGGCGATTTCTGAAAGAACTAGAAATTGACCTTCCATATGACCCAGCAGTCCCCCTACTGAAAATATGCCCAGAGGAACTCAAATCATTCTACCAAAAACATACCTGTACACGCATGTGTGTTGCAGCTCTACTCACAATAGCAAAAACACGGAACCAACCAGGCTGTGCATCGAAAAGCTAAACTAGATTTTTTAAATGTGGTACATATACAGAATGGAATATTATGCAGCCATAAAGAAGGACAAACATATGAACTTCGCAGCAGCTTGGATAGATTTAGAGTCCATCATACTCGTGATCTATCACAGAAACAAAGAACAGAGTACCATATGTTCTCACTCATAAGTGGACCTTGAACAATTATCATAATACTATAAGAAAGGTATTGGCAATGGTGGGAAACTGCCGGGGGTGGGGATTGGCAGTTAAGGGAAACTGCTAGGAGAGGGACATACCTCATCAACAAAGGTACCTGCATAATCAGTGTTTGTATACCTAATCCTGAATTGTACCCCACATTGTTAAAATATAAAATAAAAATAAATCAATAGATAAAGCTACAACTCTCAACTCATCAGGAATATACTAACTATGAACCCTACAAACATTTTAAAATAAAAACATCCTAGCGTATGAACAGAATCTTATTATTTTAAACATTGACTATTTTTGTAAAATTCACAATGTGTATTATACGTAAGCACAGGACATATCTGTATTGGGGAAAATAATTATTTTAAAACTCATTGCATCCATCAGTGCAGAAAAGCATATACACAGAATTCCAAAGAATCTCTTCCACTCTCTCTTTTTAAAGTCAGAAACTAATTAATTCATGCCTCAGTGGAGGTAAGCCTCAGTTTTGTGCTGGAAAAAGTGAACATCACTTAATTTTTACGTTTCTGTTGCTACACCTTCTCCTCCCCTCTACCCCACTAGTCATGTATTCAACAAATTGACCTATTTTCTTTCTCTATTTTAAGTCTTACAAAAATGTAATAAAGTTACTGGCTATCATTTTGTGTCACAGAAACTTTACCGATGAACTCTGTATCAATCTTTTTACAGTCTTCCTAATTAGAATTTGGAATCTGACCACACTAAAAGCTATATTCATTCTTAGAAATGTATCAGACACAACTATAAACAATCCGAATTTTCACTGGGCTGACTAGGAAATTTTAGACTTTATGATGATGTGAAAATGACATGAATACAGTAGCATACATACTTGAGTATCCATGCAACAATTGTTTTTCACTTTCAGTACAGTATGCAATAAATTTCATGAGCTATCCAACACTGTGTTATAAAATAGGCTTTCTATTAGATGATTTTACCCAACTGGAGGCTAATGTAAGTATTCTGAGAACATTTAAGATGGACTAAACTAAGCTATGATATTCCTTAGATTAAGTGTATTAAATGGATTTTTGACTTACAATATTTTCGGCTTACAATGATATTATTGGGATATAATCCAGTTGTAAATTGAGAAGCATCAGCAGTCTATTTTGACTATGTTCATGAAAGCACGTTCTAAGATCTTTGAGTTTCAATTTCACACTCTAAATTCTTAATTTTAAAAATTAACATGAATGTCATACGGGCTTTGTGACAGGTTGAATAATGGCCTCAAAATATGTCCACATTCTAATCTCCAGGAGCTATGAATATTACCTTACACGGGAAAGTGACTTTGCAAATCTGACTAAGAATTTTGAGATGGGGAGATTATCCTGGATTATCTGATTGGGCTCTAAAAGTAACCACAATTACCCTTATAAGAGGAAGGAAGAGAAAGATTTGGCTACAGATGAGAAGGCAGTATAACAGAAGCAGAGAGAAATCTGAAGATGCTTACACTGCTGGCTTTGAAAAAGGAGGAAGGAACCAGTGAACCAACAAATGCAAGGAATGCAACTCTAGAAGCTGGAAAGTCAAGGAAGTAGACTTCATCACGGTAAAACTGATTTAGGGTGTCTGGCCTCCAGAACTATAAGAGAAATATATGTGTTGCTCTAAGCCACTGAGTTTGTGATTGTTACAACAATCACAGGAAAGCAATATAGGGTCCCAGAGCCCCTTCATTTCTCTACTTACTTCTGTAGTGGGCTTAATCCCACTAAAGTTGAGCTCCAGTTCTCTAGTACTAGCAGAAAGCACCTATCATAGAGGAGACTGTCAGAGTCAAGCTCTTCTGTAATTGCTGCTGACATAAGGCTCTTACCCAGTGGTGATGCCAGGTACTCACACATAAAGAGGGAAGGTCGTGAAATAAAAAAAACAGAGATCCTTAAGTGCCAATAGTCACTGCTACAGGCTGTCTCAAAACGCTCCCTACTCTGCAGTTTTGAACTTTACCTTACAGTGAATGCCCAACAGTTTCAAATTCCCTCTTTGGAGGAATACCGACATTAAAGTGCAGACTCTACCACTTATCAGCTGTGTGACTTTGCACAAGTTCCTTGAGCTTCAGTTTCTTTTTCTCAAAAAAAGAGTTAATAGCAAAAATACCACCTCATAGGATTGTTGCATAGATTAAATAATAATGAAGGTAAACACTAGTCAGTCAACTAACCACCACCATCAACATGATCATCATCATAGTCATCATTATCATTAACATTACTAATAATCACTTCAAATTTTAGCTTTGTTTACCTAATCATGCTTTAATAATCAGTTATTTGAATACATGAAATCTTACTTTTGGAGTACATTAACTATAATAGATTTTTTTAAAAAATAATTTTGAAATTGATTGTTTTTCTCCAGAAACTTTTGGTGGCATTTTTATATGTCAATACCAAAATTTTTAAACTAAAATTTTAGCATCTGTTCAGCCATACTCTATAGAAACATGTATTTAGCTATGTCTGTCTGGTAAACTAATGCAGTTAATGAAGACTGTGTCCTCTCATGACAAAAGGCTAACATAACTTCAGTGGGCCGCTCAATATCAGCCACAAAATAAAACTAAATGTACCATCATGGGAATGTGAACTGATCTCAAGATACAGATCACTCATAAGCCATGTTCAGCCCTCCTCTTTTTCCACACGTTCCCCTTTCTCAAATATTATTTTAATCTCACCTCCTCCCATTCTCCACATATCATCTATTAATACTTACAACCACTTAACACTTCCTACCATTTCCCAAAAGTTACACATTTTCTTACATCTTGGGGACTTGGCCCAAGTATTATCACATTTATTGAATAAAACTTTCTAGTATCACCCAGGTTCCTTCCTCCCTGTTCCCATCGTTTTTTGTGCCTATTTACCTTAAAGCATTTTGTGGTAACTATTGCATGTATCTTTCTTACTAGTCTGTAAACAACTTGAGAACAGTAATCCTTTACCATGTTTCTTTGTATCTTCATTTCTTAGTAAAATATCTAGAACAAAGTATGTCCTCAATAAAAATGTGTTAAATGAATTAATGTATGATCACAATACAATATTCAAATAGTAAATACCGAGATATTCAGTTTAAATAATCAAATATCTTGATGGTTTACATTTTAAAACTAGAGAAGTCTTGAAAGTTTTCTTAGCCTTCAAACTTACCTGAATATCTTAGCTGCAGTTCAGAAGGTGGGACACTTAATAAGCGTGAAAAATGATCCTTGAGGTATTTAAAAATAGTATTAATATTAAAAGGCATTATAATTTCCTGGCCCACTGGAATAAGTACAACTTTAACTGCAGATAAAAGGATAAAAGAATCATAATCAAATATAGCAAGGGTCAGCAAACTACAGTCAACAACTAGATACAGAATTATGTAATAATGTTTAATTCACACAGAATGCAAGTTGCTTCTGCCATGTTCTCCGCTGCACCCCAGCCAATGGTAAGAGTTACTTTAAATTTTCTATAAAGAGAAGTGACCAATACTCAGTGCAGCATTTTGCTTTGAAAGTTAATTCATATTCTCAAGAATTAGCATCAATGTTCAACACATGGTTTTGATTATTCAGATATAAGTATAGGAAACATCTCAAAAAATCACACAACTTTGTATAGTGAATTTAGGAACGGGAGACCTTGAGACAGTGACTGTGTCCCAGAACTTAGAAATACATCATAACTACTTTTCACAAGGATGGATATTATAAATAACTCAATCCTCTCTACAAAATAAAAAATTAATATTCATACATGTTAAAAAATAAAAACTGGTATTGTAAAATGATTATCTATTTATGAATTATAGAAAGGAAATATAGTATGTAAAAGCTAGTCAACATGGTGTAACTTTTTTGTTTTATATCTATAGACTAAGTTTTAATGGAGAAGATGTAGTAAGAGAATATACACTGCGGGCCAAAAAAGTTTTGTATATTTCTAGATGCCTGACATAGTTTTCATAAAGCTAAATAAGGCATTTATTAATAGCATGACACAATTTAACCAGGCATTGGTGATGCTAATGTTCTTTGAGCATGTTAAAACTTGTTTTCACAGTCTCTATCAATCAAGTGAACACATTCAAAGATGCTAAATGACTGGAGGGATATTTTAATCGTTCTATGAGTACATAAAGCCATATATTTTAAAACTTGCATAGTAGTGACTTCTTAAGCTTTGGGAAGGGGAAGCTGTTAAGGGATTTGTGAAGCTCAGAAGTACAGGACCAAGACTTTAAAAAAAAAAAATCACCATGTGTTTGCTATAAGCTACAATACCATGGAATGACAGAAATATCCAAAAATGAAACCCAAATTTACACTGAATACTAAAATTAAGAGGTATTTGCTTAAGTTGGATATAATTGAGCTTAGTTTTCTTTTGTGTGTGTGTGTTTTTTGTTTGTTTGTATATTTTGTTTGTCTTTTTTTGTTTGTTTGTTTGTTTGTTTTCCTTAATTAGTTTTCTCTACTTCCTCCTTTTCATTCTTTACTTATGTGGATATACCACACAAAAGTAAACTGCCCCACTGGATTGATTCAAAAGCTACATTTTACTAACTAAGCTCTGTTATTTTTGTTATTATATCGTGGCTCATGTTTTCTACCAGTGGGTGGAAATTTTCTAAAACTCACAGACAAGGAGGAAAAGGAGCAGCGAATTGACCAAGCAAGTAGAACAGTTCTCTGTGTAACCACCTTATTGCTGCTCCCCCTCTGCCTTGTTACCAAGAATGTAATAGTAACTGCTACGTGGCATCAACATTATTTTGTATCTTTAAAATGACCTACAATGAAAGACAACAATGATTTTTCTGAAGCTAAATGTAAGTTAACGCTAGGCAAGCTATAGATATATATAAAAGCAAGCTATAGATATATATAAAAGCAACACAATATGTGGAATGAACACTGGGCACAAAATCAGTAAATCTGTAGTTAAGGTTCCATCCCACCTCTTGCTGCCTATATATAAAAATTAATTTCAAATTGGCATGCAAAAGAATTCCAATTTTAGTCAAGAATTTCTCTATTTTCCAAGGTGCCTAAATATTTTCAAAACTTACTTTATTTGAACATATATGTGTTTCAATTTCAAATGTAATGATGCACATTTATTGAGGAATAATAGAAACTGTAGAATAGGGTTGCTTTCACACATAGTTAAGAGATTCAAGCAGTATAACCATGGAAATTTTGTAGATAAAGGAAAGGGATAGTACTATTAAATACAAAACAAATCTTTAAGCAAAAACAAACACACCAGCAAGAAAAGCAGCTATTATTCAAAATGAGGAACTAAAATGTCCTGTCTTCCCTAGGTAGTACCTGTTGCTAAAGAATCTTTTGTTGATTCCAGCAAAGCCTCCTTTATAGCCTTTATTTTATCTAGATATGCCAGAGTGGCATCATTGAACCTGTGCATTGCATACTGCTCTTGATCATGTCTTGGAGTATATGAAACGTGTCTTGGTGGCACAACCTCTTCCATGAGTTGTTCTTCATCATCTGGTTCCAGGCTTACAAGGCTGTGGTCACTGTGCGCCTTAGCATGCATTTCATAGCCCTCGCTGAATTGTTCTAGCTCAGATTCATGCTCTTCAGTTTCATATGACTCTTCATGCTCTTCTGAGGGAGCTGGAATATTGAGAGTGTCAAAAGCATCATCACTTTCTTCTGTTGAGTCAACTATATTCTGAGCATCAAACTGTTCCTCTTGACCAGACATTTTCCTAAATTTAGAAAAATAAACACATTTACTACATAAAGTTTCTACACCAAAAATCAAATTCATTCCTGGTTTAGAGCAATATTCATAATATACTACAATGTGGCTCATTATTTTTAAATGTTGATTATCTTAGTAATGGCATTGGGTTAAAAAATGGTGATTTAGAAAAAAAAAAACCTCAGAGAGTAAAAATTAAAAACATAAAGAACCTCTAAACAATACATTTGAGAACAATACTCTGCAAAGAATATATGAAAAAGTACTTTAAATATCTTGTTATTTCTTTCTTCCTTAAGGAAGAATGCCTTGTGAAAGAACTTTTTGAATTTTATTTTTTTCTGAATACAAAAAAATACAAAACTGACACCAATTCATGCCTATGGCATTACAAATGATTAGATGCTCTAAGGATCCAGCCAGTTACACAACTGTACCCTGAATAGAATAACACTCTTTGCAGTAGCTTTGGTCTTACTGATTGCAGCAGAGGATTCCAATGCCTCTGTCCCCCAAAACAAACAATAAATATGGGGTGAGCTTGGAGGTGACTAGAGCCACAGCTACAGCAATCAGGAGCTTAGGCTTGGAAGACAAGATGACAGCATCTAGAAGCTTGGGCCAGGAAAGTCCAGAGCATTCCAGAGCCATGGTACAGAAGCAGAGTTAGATCAAAGCAGTGAGGAGACAATATAGCAGGGAGCCTTCTACAGAAGCTAGCAGCTAGGAAGAGAGGAGACGGAAGGTAGTCCTAAAACCAGATTATTAAACCTTGGAACAATAAGGTGTGAAAACTTTATCTGGGGCTTCAACTTTGAGCCCAAATCTTTGTAAATAAAAAATATTTATATATCATCCATAGTCAGTGGACTTCTCTGGCTACTAGATGGCAATTTTTTTTGAAATGGAAACATTTAAAACATAAATATATAACTTTTAGCCGGGCTCAGTTGCTCAGCCTGTAATCCCGTGCCTTTGGGAGGCTGAGGTGAGTGGATTGCCTGAGCCTGCGGGTTCGAGACCTGCCTGGGCAGCGAGACCTCATCTCTACAATAAATCAAAAAAATCAGCTGGGCGTGGTAGCGCATGCCAGTAATTTCAGCTACTTGGAAGGCTGAGGTGGAAGGATCGCCGGAGCCCAGCAGGTCGAGGCTGCGGTGGCCGGGAGCAGTCACTGCACTCCAGTCTGGGCAACAGAGTGAGACTACAACTCAAAAAAAATAAAAATAAAAAATAAAATTTTATTTATATATATATATATATATATATATAACTTTTGAACTCAATAAATAAGCTATATAGGATTAAAGAGAGTTGAAGAGAGAATTAGTAAGCTGGAAGATAAATAAAATGATTTTATGTAGAATGCTACAAAGAAAAAGAATACAAAAAGTACAAGAGAGAAAAGTCATGCAGAAGAGAGAAAGAAAGTTTGACATATTTTTTGCTAAGCATATAGTTTATTGCAAGCTAAGAATGGTTTTGTATTGTAAAAGCAAAAACTAACAAAGACTATGCAACAGAGACTACATATGGTCTGTGCAGCTTTAAAAAAAAATAGGCTTGTAAAACCCTTTTCATAAAAAGGTAATAGCTGAAAAATTTTCAAAACTGATTTAAAAAATGAATCCCCATATCCAGGAAGCACAATATAAACATATATCTAACAGAATAAATAAAAATAATACATAGCTATATACATTGTGATGTATTCATCTGCCCTTTTTGTAAAGTCTGAGGTAATGGGGGGGGGGAGAATCTCTCCTCAAATTAGCCAAGTTGGCATCTTTCAAAACAGTAATAGAACAAAATCAAGAATTTCTGCTCTTCAGAAAACACATCTGGAAGAAGAAGACAAACCATAGACTAGGACATTTTTTTTTGCAAAATGCATATCTGATAAAGGACTTATATCCAAACTATATAGAAAATAATTTTTAAAAAGTAAGAAGAGGGTAAAACATTTAAACAGACACTTCACCAAAGAATATATAGAGAAGGCAAATAAGCAGGGCCAGGACTAGGCTGAGACACCTGTGCTGCTCCACACTTGCACTTGGCTTGAAAATAAATGCCTCCTAACATTTTGGACCTAGGTGCCTCAACTGCTTCACCCTAGTTTCAGCCCCAAGAACAAACATAAAAAGATGCTCAATATCAGTCATCAGAGAACTGCAACTTCAAATCACAATGAAATAGTCCTACACACCTATTAGCATGGTTTTAAATAATATTTTTTAATTCAACAATAATAAGTGTTAGTGAGTGAGTATAAAGACAAGTGGAGCTCTCATACTTTAATGGTATAAATTAAAATTGGCATGAAACTTAAGATCATTGTTTTTTCATGTTCTTATAAAGTTAAATATGCACTTATTCCGTAGTCCAGCAATGTTTGTCCTCTACCCAAGTGGAATTAAAGACTACATGTATACAAAACCTGTACACAAATATTTAAAGAGACTTTATTCTTAATTGCCAAAGACTAGAAACAACACAAATGTTCCTTAGCTGGGAAATAAATACACATATTATAATACATTCATAAAATGGCATACTACATATACATCAATAAGAAGGAACAAACCACTGATATACTCAACAACATGGATGAATCTCAAAGGAATTATGCTAAGTGGGGAAGCCAACTCTAAGGCTGCATACTCTATGATTCAATTTATATGACAAATTGGGTCTAGAAAACAGATCAAAGTAAGGGGAACTACAGGAGTTGATCATAGAAGGATATGGGGAATTTTTCATGTGATGGAACTATCCAAAATCTTAATCATGGTAGTGGTTACACAAACTGTCTATGTTTATTAAAGTGCATAGCACTCCATACTTTAAAAGGGTAAATTTTATTGTGTCTAAGCTATGCCTTAGTAGAAAAATGAAACAAAGAATAAAAGCAATGTTCTTTTCAGTAAAATAAAAAAAAAGTGTGCTATTAAGACTAATACTAAAGAAATTTCAAAAATAATAATTTTTAAAAATTGATTTCAGCCGGGCTTGGTGGCTCAGCCTGTAATCCTGCGCCTTTGGGAGGCTGAGGTGAGTGGATTGCCTGAGTTCGCGGGTTCGAGACCCGCCTGGGCAGGCGAGACCTCATCTCTACAATAAATCAAAAAATTAGCCGGGCGTGGTAGCACGCGCCTGTAATTCCGGCTACTTGGAAGGCTGAGGCGGAAGGATCGCCGGAGCCCAGCAGGTCGAGGCTGCGGTGACCAGGAGCGGCCACTGCACTCCAGTCTGGGCGACAAAGTGAGACTCCAACTCAAAAAAAAAAAAAAAATTGTTTTCAGGCAGAAGAAATAAAACTGATCCCAGATGTAAGATCAGAGATGAAGGAAATAATAAATAGCAAGGAAAATGAAAATATGTGGGTAAATATAAATATACATTGGCTAGATAAAAATAATGTCATAAGTCACACACACATATACACACACACAGAAATACACAAAAATCATATAGCATATCTATTTTGAGGGGTGAAAATGCTTTTGAAAAAGGTTGTTTACCTTATCATAATTAACCTGTTTATCTGTTTTATGTGGTTTTCTGATTTTGTGCTCAACAGTAAAGGAAAAAAAAAAAAAGAAAAGCTAAATTAAAAAGAAGAAAGAGGAGGATGAAGCACCCTGTAAACTAATATGAATCACACTCCAGGATATATTAAATGAAAAAGGAAAGTAAGTAGAATAAGAATATATATTTGTATTTGATTCAATCTAGATAAAGAAACACTCAGAAAAGTATGAAAGAAACTAAGAAAACTAAGAATCTGGTGGGGGCAAGGTGAGTGGGAAGTAAAGTGGCCAGAACAACAGCGGGCTCCAGACTTCTTAATATATTCTTTTTAGTATCATTTTGATTTTTAAACAATGTGAATGTATTACCTCTTTAACAAAATTAAATATTGTGGCTCTGTGGTGGCTCAGCCTATAATCCCAACGCTTTGGGAGGCCGAGGTGAGTGGATTGCCTGAGCCCACAGGTTCGAGATCTGCCTGGGAAACTTGGCGAGACCTCATCTCTACAATAAATCAAAAATCAACCGGGCATGGTAGCGCGTGCCTGTAATTCTGGCTACTCAGAAGGCTGAGGTGGAAGGATCGCCGGAACCCAGCAGTTCGAGGCTGCGGTGGCCAGGAGGGGCCACTGCACTCCAGTCTGGGTGACAGAGTTAGACTCCAACACACACACAAAAAAATTAAATACTAAGACATTATGGGCTAGTATACTAGGGGAGACACAAAGTGGATGGGAGAGTAGGTGATCAAAAGTGCTAAAGCCTGAATAGGAATTGTCAAGAATTGTGACAGGTCTGAGATTTAATCCTACCTGCAAGCTTACAGTTCAGCCTGCCATAATTCCATGGATGCTATCAGAACACATTAGACTCCTGGGTCAGAGACAAAGGACTTTATAATTCATGGCACAGCCGATAGCATGAGCTTCATATTCATGAAGAATACCCATGCACCCAAGTCCCAGAGAAAGAGTGTAGAATGGCCCAATTAGATGCTACACATATAGTGGGCTGTGTCATAGCTGAGGAACCCCAAATTTAGAAACCACAATCCTTTGTAAGGGACTGCAAGCAAATCTGCCCAACCTTTGCCCCAGAGGAATATATTATCATAGTAGACAGATAAATCTGATCTCTGCTTTAGAAGGAGACACTATCACTATCTTCCAAGGCTGTTCACTCTACAAATATTCTTGAAAAGACAGTCCAGAATAAGGTTGCCAGTGCCTTAAGTGGAAATACAAGAGAACCGAATTGCCTTCTTTGAGGAATAGGAACCACACATAAACCTCTGAAGGTCAGCATCTTGTGATTATTCTCACAGCTACCCAGTAAGGATGGCCACATTACAACAGCAATTATGTGTCTCTCACACAGCCGCAGGTACAATGCTTGCTCATCTATGCTCTGAAACTTTGCAGGTTCCATCTGATACTGCTCAGTCTGCATAAGGCCCCGTTTAACGGTCCA